GACCTTCAGAGGCTGAGCCACAGGCAGCTGGTTGCATGCAGGGGCTCAGTGGCAGTTGTCTGTGTCTTGTCCCTCTGGAGTGAGGTAGCCAGAAAGCCAGACACACAGCTGGAGCCTGCCTTTGGCTGGAACAGCAAGTTCCAAGCTGGGGTACCCATTCCTGAGTTGTTTTTGCTCCCATAGCCTGCTGGCCAAATGCCAGTCAGCTTAGAGCCACATTCATGGTATCAGCAACTCCCCAAAAGAGGGAAATGGACACGGATGCTTCTGTGCCCGTGAGAATGAATCTTAATCATCCAGTTTCATACACTGGCCACACCCTGGGCAAGACAGGAAACATGACTTCTGTCCTGCCCTCATATATATACAGCCTTGATAGCTTTTTGGCTCATTATATGAGCATAGAGTTGGGTTTTTTTTAAAATATCCCAAAGCAAAATTTATTTGTAAGGCACTAAAGAAAGCCTCCTGTCCCTTTTATGCCGGGAGCCCTCGGAAGAGAAGTGAAATTGTGTATTCGCTGCTAAAAAAAGCCCTGGCTTATACAATTTTAACAATAGAAAAATGATCTTTGTGCTTCAGTGCATGGATGCTTAAAGGGAAACAGGCAGCCTGTTCAGGTGGCTGGTGAATTACAAATGAGTGGTTCGCCTTTGTTTTGAGTGACAAGCAATTTAAATGCAGTCTTACATGGAGGCCTGGAAATTCTTTTTCCCAGAAGAGAGCAAGCAAGAGGGAAAGACAAATAAAGAAAAAGAGGGGAAAAGCTTCCCTTTTGAACTGAGAGATTATATTAGTTGCCGCTGAGCGGAGGTGAGAAGTTAGAACTTCATTTGATAATTATAAAATCAGTAGTTTGCAATTGGACGTAATTGATGATTATACTGCTGCTAATAGCAGGCCTGCCAGCCAGCGCTTATGGGACGGTTCATTTTTGCGCGGCTTCCAGCCGTGAAAGCTGGCCCAGTGCGGGGTGCTGCTCACAAGATCTCAGGGATCCTGACACAAATGCATCTGGGGGCCTGCATTATGTTGGATAAAACATGTTCATTAATGCCGACATTTGAAAACACTTTGCTCTGTGCCTTATTTTTAGCCTGGGAGTAATTACAAATATTAGAATAAAATTGCATGGTGATTTTCTCGAACCCTGCCTCATGGTCTCCCAGCAGACCCGCCCTTGGTCTGAGCTGGGTGCGGCTGCTGGGATGGCGCGAGGCACAGGAGGAAATGGCCTTGCGCTGTCTTGGATGAAAACCTCCATGGGGTGGGGATTGATGTGTGGGGAGGTGACTGTCTGTCTGTCTGCTTGGGGAAATTAAAATTGTTGCACAGCTGAGTTAGTAGGGGACCCAGGCCCAGCACCTTCACTTTACAGATGGGGAAACTAAGGCTCAAAAGGGGGTGTGACTTGCCCAAAGGTGAACAGGGTGAAAACCCCAGCTGTTAGGGAACCCCTGGATCCTGGGCTGATTCCGTTTCTCCCAGGTCACACTCCTCCTGCTCCTCAGACCACTGATTCTGAGACCCTCTGAGCACCTGCTTCCTCTCAGTTGTCCATCAGTCTTTTGTTTCTTCCAGAATCCTGCTGCATCAGATCCCCCACTCCATCTCCCAGAACCGCTGCCTCACCCTCCCCAGAGCACAGGACCCTGTGGTAAAGAGAAACTGTTCTCTTTAGTGTGTCCATGGAACCCAAGTTTCCAGGTTCATTTTCTGAAGAAAGACGTTCTGTGGCCAAATGCATTTGGGAAAACTCTGGGCTGAGCCAAGGCGAAGGGGATTTTTTTTTCCTGCAGCTCTTGTCCAAGCATCCAGTGTGTGGGAATATTTTGTACATGTTCACTCAGAAAGCATGTGACTTGATCACAGACACACACACACACACCCCCCACGCCTGTGGGACTGTGCAGCACACTTTGAGAAGCACAGGCTTTCCAGGTGCAGGTCTGGGCCCTGGGATGAGAGAACTCTGGGCTCAGATACCACCTCTGCCACCAACTAGTTCTTTCATTTTGACCAAGTGACGTGGCTTCCCTAAACCTCAGTTTCTTCCTCTGTAGAATGGGGACATGTGCTCGTCTTAGTCATCGGGGAGATTCCAAAGATACAGCACTGAGCACAGAATGAGGGTTCAGATTCCAGAAGCTCTGATGGTTCCCTATAAAGGTCTCAGCATGAAGCAGTTCTCTGTAGCCTATAGATGTCACTGCTACCTCGGGGAAGCTCAATCTCAGGGCAGGGTCCCCAAATTTGCCAGGTTTAAGCATCTGATGGACGAAAGCTAGCCGGCTAGAACAGGCTTTTGCCACTCCTCTGGGTTAACTGGCTCTGCACCTGTTATTTACATACTTGGGGACCAAACACATTTCACCCTTTCTACCACAGCAGGTGGTGTGAATGCCGCACGCTCAGATGCTAAGCTATTTCTGATGGTGACCTTCTTGGTGTCTGTAGCTGGCCGCCACCTCCCCCTCCTCCACTTTTCCTTCCTCCCCCCTCCCCCCCAGATGGCCTTCAAAGATCTGCCTGTCACAAACCAAATCTGTCATTCTGGACACTTTCCTCCCGCCCTTCTGCATAGTGGGACCCAGCCATGAGGCAGAGACATGTGGCCTTTTTTTATGCCGAGCTCACCTGTTCTGGGCACATGAGTGAAACGCACTAGAGCTGCAGACCTTGGAAAAGGCGTCCTATATGGTTGGAAAGAAGAATGATGTGATTTATTAGGAAGCCTTTTGCCAACTTCCATGGGACTCTTTGCCACATGTTAGCTCTTTCCTGTCCAATAGCTTCTTAAGCAGATGGAAATTTTTCTTCCCACCTGATGGATGAACAAACTGAGGCCAAGTGCTGCTTAATGACATTTAGGCGCAGCACTAGATCGGACTTTGATCCATCAGAACTGGCCTCTGGAAACAGACCAGGTCATTGCTCTGACAGGCTGAACGAGGCAAGTTATCCAATGGCTGCTGTCTCTAAGACACATGTTTACTGTGGGAAGCCCTAAGCTTGATCTGAGTCAAACTGGGTGCCAGTCAGGCTGCTCTCTGACCTCTGCTTTTGAAAATATTGTCTAGCCATTTAGAGAACCTCTAAAGTAAGAGATCAGCAAACATTTTCTGTAAAGGGCCAGGCAGTAAATATTTTTGACTTTGCAGCCAGGGTTTCTGTCACAGCTATTGAATTCAGCCATTGTAGCATGAAAGCAGCCATAGACAATACATAAAAGAATGGCCGTCGCTCTGTGTTCCAGTAAAACTTTGTACAAATAGAGGAAGGGCCAGATTTGGCCAACTCTTGATCTAGACCAGCACTGTCTAGTTGAAATATAACACAAGCCACATGGGATTTAAAATTTTCTAATAGCAACATTTAAAAAAGTATAGAGAAACAGGTGAGTTTAATTTTAATACCATATTTTATTTAACCCGATATATCCAAAATATTTTAATTTTCAATATAAAATCAGTGTAAAATTTATTGAGATATTATACAATCTTTTGTACATTCTGAGACTTAGAAATCCCGTGTTTTATACTTACAGCCCATCTGAATTGGAAATAGTCCCATTTCAAGTGTTCATTGGCCACATGTGCTAATGGCTACCATGCTGGACAGCACAGCTCTAAGTGGGAGAGCCATAAAGAGACAGTCACACATAAACAATACACCATTATAAACGGACAAGTGCCATGAATAGAAAGTAGAGAGTGCTGTCAGCAGAGACAAGGAAACATTAAAGGAATCGGCTGGCACTTGCCCCTGCTTCTACCCAGAGTTCCTTTTTAAAAGTCCATGGAACATTCTGATGCCTTTCCTCAAACCCCAGCCACCACACATGCTCAGCATGGATGACTGACTGTATGGTGTCAGACAGGACCCAAGTGGGTGCAACCCACTTGGATTTGTTCTCTCAACAAATTATGTTGAGCACCCTCTGCACTAGACAATGCGCTCCCAGAACTTACTTCAAGGGGAGGAACTCAGTAATAAACACCCTTTTAGTTGGCATCATTGGGATTCATAAGAAAAGCCCAACTCTGAAAGAGGGTGATTGACAAGTAGATACTCAGATAGAGTCATCGTTTAGAAGGTTGGCACCAGATGGAGAGGCATGTTGGTGCCAAGGAGAATAGAGCTGTTCCAGCCCCAAGGGAGATACCCACCCCAGCATGTCCTCAAGGAGGGTAGGGATGGTAGGGAGAGGCCAGGACTAAGCCATAGGGACTGGCCACCAAGAGCCAGCGTGAAGGCAGTGTGAGGCCAGAGCTCAGATTTCAGAGCCTAGAGCCAAGGGATGTGGTGCTGAGCCCCAGCAATGTCTCACCCAAAACCATCTCATGGAGTCTTACTGGCAGAACAAGAAAAGCCTGTGGGCAAGAAAATGAGTGCTTGAATGTGGGTCTTCACCACCCAGTCATTTAGTCACCCATGCATTCATCAGTCAAGAAGCACTTGTTGAGCGCCTTTGGTATATACCAGGAACTGTTTCCTATCACCTGTCACCCTTGACATTTGTTGAAGCTGTTTGATATCTTATTAGAGATTTAATGATTTCTCTTTAATTTTCAGTGGCAAGAAATATTCCCTAGGTGTATCCCCCTTTTCCCCAAAACATGTGCCATGTTTGAACTGCCGGTGTGGCCTTTCAATAAAAAGAATACTAATAGTGACTGTTAATAACCTACTGTGTGCCCTGTGCTGCGTATATGCAGCTGCACTTAATTGTCACAACAGGCCTAGGAAGTAGTTTCTATTATTTACTCCCATTTTACAGATAAGGAAACTGAGGGTCAGAGAGGGCCAGTGGCTTGCCCAGGGTTACACACCTGGAATGTAGTAGAAGTGAGATGTCAACCTGAACTTTCTAACTCCATACTTTTAACTTTCATTTCCCCTCCCCTCTCCCACCCCATGTTTGCAGAAGTAGAAAATGACCAGATTTGCTTGTAGACTCATACCATGGTTACACGTGATTTTTTCTTTTGTTTCCAAAGGTAGTGGCCCTTAGTAAAAGAAGTCAGGAAGCCGAGGCTGCTTTCTTGAGTGTTTACAAGCAATTAATTGAAGCACCAGGTAAGAAATGCTTGGGCTCCATAATTGAGTAATTAATGAGAAGAAATGGCCATTAGACCCATTACACTGCTCATGGTGGGGTCTGGGGACAGGCTGAGACTCCTGGACAAGGCCATGTCCTCCATGGATGGGGATTGTGGGGGGTGAGGGGTTCTATGCTCGGTCTGGTGTGACATCTCCACATGGCACCTCCATCTTCCCCCACCACCTTCTGATGTCAGCCAAGGAGTGTTTGGGGGCTCCTGGTGAGGTCTCCCACCTGAACTTTCTTTGGAAGCCAAGAAGTCTGTCTTACCTGCCAGAGAACAAATGGTGCCCAGTGCTTTCTGCCGGTGGAGTGCGCTGGAGGAAAGAGCTCGAAAGTTTCCTTCAACCTGGCGCAGCCAACCTCAAAAATTTGATGTAAAACGAAAGCCAAACACAAAAGAACATGTATTATATGACTCTATTTATATGAAACATGAGACAGGTGAAAACTAACCTGTGAGCACTATTCATAGTGGCCAAAGGGGGAAACAGCCCAAATGTCCACTGAGGGATGAACGGACAAACAGATGCAGTCTGTACATTCAATGGAATGAGTCAGTTGTAAGAAGGAATGAAACACTGACACGTGCTACAGTGTGGATGAGCCTCAGAAACGTGACGCTAAATGAAAGAAGCCAGACACAAAAGCCATGTAGTGTAGGATTCCATTGATATGAAGTGTCCAAAATAGGCACATCTATAGAGACAGAAATCAGATTGGAGAATGCCAGGGGCTGGGCACAGGGGGGAATGGGGAATGAGTGTTTAATGGGTAGCAGGTTTCCTTTTGGGGGAATAAATGTTCTGGAACTAGATAAAGGTGGCAGTTGCACAACATCATGAATGTACTAAATGCCACTGACTTGTGCACTTTAAAATGGTTACATTTATGTTATAGAATTTCACCTCAATTTAAAAAACATTCATCTGTGTTGCTAGACATCGAATGGCAACAGTTCCTAGGAGGGGCCTCTGGGGCTGGAGATGCTGTTTCTTGATATACTTCTCTAAAAAGTTGGCCTTTTTAAAAATGGCCCATCCTTTGCCACCTTCTCATTTGTTGACTCAGAAAAGGGAGCCAAGAAATGTGTAGTAATTTGCTTAACAGTGATGGAGCTGGGAGGAGACCCTGCTGTGCTAACTCCCTTTACCCAGACAGCCCCCTGATCCTTTCCCCTGTCCTTCCATGCAGCTGTAGGAATCAGTGCTATGGGAGTTGATTGGGGTTGAGGGTATTATGAAGAGGAAACTGAGATCCCAGTCTAAGCTGAGTCATAGAGAAGGCAGAGTTATTTATGTTTGAAATAAAAGTTGTTTGTGGGATCTTTGTATTTAGGATAGGAAAGTTCCTAGTTTCACCTGTGTTGGGCAACTTTATAAGGTTGAATAGTGTCCTCCCAAAATTCATGTCCACCCTGAACCTCAGAATGTCACCTTACTTGGAAACAGGGTCTTTGAGATGTAGTTAGTGAAGGATCTTGAGATGAGATCATCCTGGGGTTCACTATGGGACCCTCATCTTTCTGGAGATAAGGCTATTAACACAATCATAGGGCCAGGACTGCAGTGGCAGCCAGGGGCCTTGAGAGCTCCCAAGACAGGCAGGAACTTTGCAGAAGGTCCTTGTGCTCTCTCACCCTCTCTGCAAAGGGTTGTTCCAAGCCTGGTGCTGACTCCATGCGTCTGATTTCCCGGCTCCCTCCCCAGAAATGGAGGGGCAGGGGAAACGTCTGTCCCCAGCTGTCACCAAGGTAGAGAATGAGGACCCTTAACTGATGGAGACGTACCATACGAACAGCCCCTTTAGGGGCTCTAATTCATTCTGAGACATTTAAGAATAACAAAATGTTTTAATGATTTCTTGGGGGAATTAGGAAGACATATTTTTGTTCTCATTAAATTTTATCCGCAGACACAAGAACCAAATGTCAGATGTGTTTTTGGTGCTCAGAGCTCCCCGGCTCGCTGTCTTCCCTACACACACACGGCCCCAACCCCCTCCATAAAAATAACAGTCCTGGAAAATTTGCCAGGATATGCACTCTCCTGTTTTTATATTTCTTGACAGGCAAATTATTTGTCGAAATACTTCTCCCCACCCCATCCCCCGAAGCCACACAAGTCCTGATTCAACATTTTTGTTTTGAATGACTGCTGCCAACACAAATCTTTGGCAGAGAATGCGATATAGCATGATTGCTCAGCAAGTATTTTGATAAGTGTGCAGCCTGTATGTCTGTAATTACGAAAGAAAACCGTAAATCTTTTGGATATTGTTCACACAGATGTGGCGTGAAGTGAGAAAAAAAGCAGTAAAACGTGTTAAAAGCATAATTAATGTCATTGTTTTGGAGGATGATTTGATTTAAACCTTTCTGACTCTATCGGCGATGGCTGATTTCTTTATCACACTCAGAGTCTCTAGGAACAGACCCCACTTCACAAAGCTAACTTGTTAACTAAGTGATTAGTTAAAAGCGAAAAATAAAAATAAAAAATAAAAACGAGCAAAGAGCAAGTAAGAGGGCGGGCCGAGGAACGCTGCTGAAGCGATGAGCTGAGAGAGGTGAGCGCCCCAAAAATGTGTTTTTCTGCTTCACTCTGGCTTTTAAAAATCTGATGCAGGAGACAGCAACTCCTGGCAGGCATTTCTTTCCCTGCCTGTTCTTTCAGGAGGCGAAAGGCTAGTCAGCTTAGGTGCCTGAGCTACAGCGGCGGACGCAGCTGCTGGGCCTGTCAGCTGGGTGTTTTCGAGCTGTGTGACCTTAGACAGGGCCTGAACCTCTCTGAGCTCTGGTTTGTGTCTTTAGCAGAGGGATAATAATAGAACCTACTCTTACTCTGACCTGAGGATTTGATACGCAGCACATGAAAGCATTTGGAGGATTTAATAATCAGCAGCCCACTGCAAAGCTGACGTCAGGAGATAAGTTACAGAGTCACAGTGTTTGCTGTTGATTTCACAAGGTTCTGTCATTTGTTAAGGATGTGATGTGAGCGGTTTAGCCAACAGGGTTACTGAGTCTGTGGAATAGGAAAATGCTTTATGATATTTAGGGATTTTTAAATTTTTCTCCCCAATTATACAAGTTGTGTGTGCATACTGTCAAATTCAGAAAATACAAAAAAGTAGAAAGGAGGGAAAACTACCTACTAGAAAAGCAGTGGGAATATTTTGTTTCTTTTTCCGACCTTTCCCCCGTGTGTTTTTTCAGAGCAGTCATTCGTGCCACGTGGACCATTTTGCATCCTGCTTCCCTTCATCCAACGCGAGCATAGTACTTCCCTTGTGATTAAAAGTCTTGAGGGACTTGGGTTCGTTGTGTGTAACACTCTCCTTTGTGGCTGTGTTGTGATTTACTGAACCCCCTCTCCAACACTGGGCACTTAGGGTGCTCAGGAACACACAACTTCTGGTACTGTGCTATAGTTCACAGGACAAGGAAGGGAACTTGTGAAGGAAAAAATACTGTGTCCGTGTATTGACTACAAACTCAGGATCAGGAGTCAGAAAGAACACGATTTTTCCCCTCTCTGATTTATTTTGCACTCCTTCACTTATTAGTTACACTAAATACCTTTTTTTTTTTTTTGGTATGTTATGAACCACTCATCTGTTCCTTTGTGAATCACTGGTTCATGTACCCTTATCCCATTTTTCTATCTGAGAGAGCTCTTTTCTTATTGATTTGTAGATGCTCTTTGTTTATTAGGGATATTAACCTTTGTCCTAGTAACCGTGTTTCCTATCTTCTCCCCTGGTTTGCCTTTTGTTTCTTAACTTTGCAATGTCTCTTGCACATGGTACATAGCAGGCATTCAAAAAATGTTTGTAGGAAGTAGAGAATTTTCCTAAACTTTTGCTTTATGGCTTCTGGGTTTCATGTAATATTTTAAAAGCCTCTTCTCAACTCAGGGTTATAGGTTTGTTTAGTACTTTTATGGTCTTTTAAAAATTTGAATCTTTGAACCATCTGAGATATACATTAGTGGAAGTGGTGAGGGAGCTTAAGAATTTAGCTTTGCGTTTGTCCCAAATGATTAGTTCTACCGCCATCTAGTGGATAAGCCACCTTCACAGGTATAGGAAATAGGGATTTTAGTATGGCTATCATCGCCTCCTTTCCTTCCCCTGCTCGGCTGGTGCCATAGGGGTCAGGGGAACACCAAAGGGTAACAGAAGAGTATTTTACCCATAAAAAGGAAGAGCTTAATGTAACTGTCTCTACATCTCTGAGCTTCTGATTCCCCTTCTGGAAAAGCACTTACCTCCTGGTACCTCTGAGAGCATTAAACGAGGTGAAGAGTATTCACTTAGCTGAGTGTCTGGCACACAGTAAATGCTCGGTAAACCGTGGCAGTCATTGCTATTGGTGGTGTTATTACCATCACCGCCCAGTGCCCCTCTGCACCTGTTTAAGCCAGGAGACCTCCTGACACAACCAGCCCTGGCAGTGGAGGGAAGAAAGGGTGAAGGGACGCACCCCATCTGCTATCACAAAACTAAGCTTAAAGGATCAAAGTTACTCGCACTGCCTCCGTCGCCATCGATAGCTTGTGCCTCCCACCCACACAGGAGCCCAGAGCCGGGGCCCAGATGGGAGAAGGCTTCTGTCTCGGAGTATTTTGGAGGGGCGCATGCATACTTCTGCATATATGTGTTTCTAAGCAGCCTCTCGGACAGCCTTTATGGTCCTAGCATTCCCAAAAAAGCTCCGATGCCACTTTCCTTCAGATGGACACAGTGGGAGGAATGAGACAGCTTCTCCTAGATTCCTGACTCCCCCCCAACTCTGTAGACCCTTTTTAAAAAAAAATACCAACAGCATCAGCTAGCGGTGGAAGATGGAATAGATGTTTTACCCACCTTGTCCGACAGTGCCTTTGGAAAGCCTGGTGTGGTATTAAAATATTATAAATTCATTGGCAGTGTTCTCTAGGGGTTTAGCTCCAATGTAAGCAAAGTGAAACAG